CTTTGTACTCCTTCAGGACTCTGTATAGAACATGGCAGCATCATTCAATTCTTTCACGTAGGGACCAGGCTTGGGAGCCAATGCTACCCAACCCAGTGCCTGGATGCTTTCACTGACAGCTGACAAGTGATTGAACAATTTGCTGCCTCGGTTCTTCTCTCGGAAAGTTATCACTTCTTGGATCTGGTCTGAGATAGGTGCCAACAATTCAGAAAGCTTATTACCTGCTGGTTGCTGGCACTGAGAAGCTGTAACCAGGAGAGCTCGCTCCAGCTTCACACCAGGATGGACCATCTCTGCATGCTTCTGCACATCTCCTCCAATCTCTTTACTGATCTTCAGGTACTCTGCCACAGGACCAGCAAGCAGTGAGTCAAATGCTTGCACATACGGTGTGGCTCCTTTTGAAGGGCTACCTCCATATCCCCGATGCATGTCAGACGCCTGGGATACAGCCTCTAAGCGACCCACTGCCTTCTCTAATCTTTCCACCAGACTCTGCATGTCAGCCATAATGTCCTACCTGCTCGGAGTTCTCTCTCACCTCGGTACTGCGATCAGCCGCGCTCCACTTCCTAGACTGTTTTCTTAAGGTCTACTGTCGCCTGCTTTTAGGTGTAGTTGAGTTGAATTTGTCACCCCATGGACCAGAGTAGAAGAGCTGAGCAGGGTTTTCCAGGATATATTTATAGAGAAAAACTGGGAGGCTTTTAGTTCATGGAGCTGCTAGGAAGGTTCCAAATGGCAATAACTGTTGTACCACCTGTGGTCATTCCTAAGGTTCAACACATCTAAAATTAATGTCTTAACCGTGCAAACTGACCAATAAATACTTATCAGTGTACTGTTGTTGTTGTTGTTATGTGACATCAAGTTGACCCTCCAGTGGGTTTTCAGAGACTGTAAACTGCATGAGAGGAGATGACCCATCATTCTTGTTTGGAGCAGCTGGTGGGTTTGAACTGCTTACCTTTGAGCTGGCAACACAAATCTTTATTATCAGAGCCATCAGAGCTCTGAAGCTATCAGAGCTCCAAACTTATCAGCTTGTTGTTATGTGCTTAGGAGTCAGAACTGACATATTGCTGATCTTCCAGTGGGTTTTCAGAGGCAGTACACTGTACATGGGAAGACTACCCGTTCTTCTCCCATAAAGCAGCTGGTGGATTTGAACCGAATTCCTTTGGAATTGCAGAGCAGTTTCTTACCATTAGGCCACCAGAGCCTCCCCACTTAACAGTACAGTTAATATTTTATGTGTGACTAATGACAGTATATGTGGCATAGAACCCAAACCGAGTCCCCTGCTGTAAAGTGAATTCTTACCCAGGGCAACCCTCCACTAGGTTTCCAGGTCTGTAAAGCCTAACGGAACAGATTACCATAGTGGAAGCCAATTGCTGACCTTTGGTTAGCAGCATGGTATATCACACATACACTACATACACTACATACACTACACCCCCAGGGCATCCTGTAGTATAGTGGGAAAGACAAGTTATTTTAAACAAATAATTATAAGCTTATACTAAATGTCATAACTGAGGCCTAAATAGAATGTTACAAAGTTCAGAGGAAGAAAAATTACTTCTGGTTAAAGATAGGGGGAAAAAACCCTTGTTAAGCTCGTTTTATGGTTGGAGCATCTGACCTGATTCTTAAAATAGACAGCTTAATTTACAGAACAGCATTAAGAACATTTCAATCAAAGGAACTATTTTCAGATTATTAAGTATTTGATAAAATAACTAGAAGCCAGAGGCCAAATCATTAGAATAGATCCTATATGCAGGAGTTTTTTAAATATAATAGAGTTACTATTTGCTCCAAGGCACAGATACCTACAATATCTACAACTCAACTCATTGCATTTTAAGTCCAACACAACACATAACTGTCCATTCAGTGGACTTCCCAGGTCATAAATCACACAGGAGGAGACTGTACATCTGTCTCCCACAAAGCAGCTGGTGGATCTGAAGCACCAGAACTGCAGTCTTTGGATTAGCACTAAAACTCCCTACTCGCTAGAGCTCCCTGTAAATATCCAAATTCTGTCTTAAAATTCACTAGAATTGTGCCCAGAGTGCCTACAGATAAAATTTTTCAAATAATAGTAAATTGTTTCCAAAGATGAAAGTGGTTCCAACAAAAGTTACAGCAACAATAATTTCAGTCATTAAATTACAAGGATACTTGTTATACTTCGAAATATTAGCTGGAACTTTAAAAGATGCTCAAATGAAACCTCAGTTGTTTAATAAACAAAATAAATTAAAATTAAATACTTACTGTTGGCTTTACTAACAACTGACCCATGACAGTAAACATACGGGAAAGACCAACTGGTGTGCACACTGCAGAAGAAAAAATCCATAGAGGGAAAACAATATCACAGATTTCAGACAGATGAACCACAGTCAGTAGAACAAAACTACTTAAAGAGTCTTCTTTGATTCTTTAAGTATTTGAGAAAAATATTATTTTAAATTTCAACTTTCTCAGAGCTTTGGCCCTGGACTCTCCCACTTCGTTGATAAGGATGTGAGGTAGGACGGTCAGAAGAGGGCATGCCAATGTTTAGTGGAAAGTATATGAAGATCAAAGAAGTCATAGAATATTCACAATTCTAGCAGTATAATAGTAAAACTTATTTTTTAAAAAAATTTTTATAATAGTATACCTTTGGCTAAAGGAGAGTAAAGAAGATGAAGTAAGAAACAAGTAAAATTTCAAGTGGTATTGACAACAAGGTAAGAATCTAAAAGTGACCATTATAAGTCTTTTTATATACTTTTACCTACTTACAATAGATCAGATAGATAGATAGAAAGATAGATAGACAGACAGACATAGAGATAGAGATAGAGATAGAGATAGAGATAGAGATAGAGATAGAGATAGAGATATAGAGATAGAGATAGATACAGAGCTAGATATAGAGATAGATATGATGACTTATAAGTAAAGCAAAACATTTTGAAATAAAATCTATAAATTCAACACACAGACTTTATTACACAAACCAGAATCTAGCACTGTGATGGATGAATGTGTATGTGCTTGTATGTGTGAGGTGTGTGTGTTATGTGTGTATTTTTCTAGCCCCTACAAACAGCCTTTCCTTGGAGAACACAAATTACTCCAAAGTTCCAGCTTATCAAAATTTACCTTGGAAAATAAAACAAGTTAAAGGCCAACTTAAAAAAATCTTCAAGCTGTCAGTTATCTTCATCACGAACTTTCTAGAATATATAGCTATGCTTTCTAATCAATAATAAGTCTGAAAAATACTTACAGAGGAGTAATAAACATCCCATCAATGATATGCATGAATACAAATAGGGCAGGTAAAATTCCCAGAGATCTAAAAAAAAAAAAAAACAATTCATTACCTCAAAATTCAAAATACTATACATTTAGATACAGAATGATCATAGTGTGAGATGTTAAAAAAGCAAGTTTAAACAAGTAAATTGCATACCATATAAAGACTCCATGCTTGCAGCATCATTGTCAATGAGGGCAGAAGCGACCCACACTATCCCAAGAATCAAAAGGGCGAGAAGAATAAGCATGACCAGGGTCTCTAAAATTCGAGCTCGGATTCCCTGAAAAATAAAGAAAATAATTTCCATGTTTTTCTTCATTTTAAAATCAGTTCTGTTTCTGCCTATGCATAATATAATTCTCTGGAAAGGAAGTTTTGATTTACTAAAACCAAATCCACATTAAATACTTATAGTTCCTACTGATCAGACTGACTTTCAAAATTATGGAAAATGGTATTAAAGTTAGAGTATAACTTTTAAAAACAATTTGCAAAAATTAGTTTACACAATTATTTGAAATAATTAATTACTGTCCTAGCATTTACTCTCAAGAAAATAGGGTGAGAAATTTTTACCTGCTATGTCAATCAAGAGAAGGGAAGGCTAATTATGACATACAGCCAAACAGTTTCGTGGCCATTAAATTTGGGGAAAGCACAATGCACCAATTTACTTGGGGACCAGTTTCCTATTATAAGAATTCAATATAGCTCTTCATAGCCTAGAGAGCCCTCAAGTGTATCACTGAAGAACTGCTCATTTTAATTGCAACACTATAAAGTTAATAACATCTATATGAATTTATATAATTCCTTTCTCCATATCAGATACCATGAAGAGAAAATATAATAAAGAATCTTTATGCACAACTTTGTTTTAAATGTAAAAAAAATGTTTTATCTCAAGGCCAAACCTGAGAATAAAACCTCTTGCTTCAATATCACAACCTAATAGGGCAACAGAAGAAGTTTATTTCCATATTCTTGAAAAGTCACCAAATATACACAAGTACTAAATTTAAAGAGTCTTCATGATATTTTATACTGTAATGCACTAGTCTATAACATTTATCATAACAATAAAATTATAAGAATGTCAGGTCTCCCAAAAATCATTGTAATCTTTCTTTACACGTTAGAAATAAAGATACAAGTACTAAATGAAAATCTAAATGCTTATTTAATTTTGCCTCTAGTTATTACTCCAAATGAATCTTTCCAGTTTCTAAATTAAAAAAAAATTGCACATAAAGCAGTAGGGAAGAAAAGGAATTCCCTGTAATTATGCATAAGTATTAGCTGACAACAAATTATCAGTCTTATCACAGGGCTGCAACTTAAAGATTTAAAATACTCCTTTAAATATGGGAGCAGGTTCATCTTAAATGGTCATAGAACAGAAGGCTAATGACTCATAATAATTTGTTGTTGTTATGTGCTGTCGAGTTGCTTGCAACTCAAAGACCTTATGTACAACTCTGAACCCTGCTCTATCCTGAGCCTTATGTACAACTCTGAACCCTGCTCTATCCTGAGCTAACCTTGTTGTCTCTGACACACTTTCCCCCATTACCCTAGTTACTGAGTCAATCTCTTATCTTCCTTCTTGTGCTTCCCTTTAGCCTCCCAAGCATGATGTCCTTCTCCAAGAATTGATGCCTCCTGACCACATGCTCAATGTATGTCAGACGGAGATTCAGAACCATTCCCTCCAAAGAGCAGACTCATTTCACCCTCTCCAGGACAAACCTGTTTGCTTTCCTAGCAGTCCATGGTATATTCTCTTTTATAGCACCACAGCTCAAAAGGCATCAGTTCTCCTTCTATGATTCCTAGTTATTGCCCAGCTTTCTGATGCATAGGAAGTAACTGTAAAGGCCATGGCCTGGATCAGGTAATATCTTAGTCTCCAGACTGACATCGTTGGTCTTCAGTATTCTAGAAAGGTCCCTGACAGCAAAGTTTCCCAATGCAATTTGTCTTTTGATTTCCTGGCTGCTGGTATCAAGAGTGTTGATTATGGAGCCAAGCAAATGGAAGCTGTTAACAATCTTGATCTCTTCAGCGTCTCTATCATGATGCTGGTAATCAGCGCAGTGGTGAGAATCTTTGTTTTCTTGATGTTGAGCTTCAATCCGTATTTTTTCGTTTATATAAAATTTTTATTTTATACTGAAGCACTTGCTGAAGAAGGTCAAGGACTGCAGCCTTCAATATGGATTGAAGTTCCTCACAGGTTCATCCTGGAGAGGTTAAACCAGGCTGTTCCTTGGAGGCAAGGATTCTGAATTCTGTCTGACATACTTTGGACCTGTTGCAAGGAAGGACCAGTCCTTGGAGAGAGACGTCCTGCTTGGGAGGGTGAGGGACAGTGCAGGAGAGGAAGACCCTTAATGATATGGATTGATTCAGTGACTGGGTAGGTTTGTAAAAGACAATAAGACTGGCACAGGATAGAGCAGGGTTTAGGGCTGTTGTACATAGGGTCGCTATGAGTTGCGGACAACTCAATGGCACATACCAACAACACAGCTAGTTTAAGGCTGTAGTACTTGACCTTCTGCAGCAAGCGCTTCAGGTTCTCCTCAGTTTTAGCAAGCAAGGTTGTATCATAGTTGATGAGTCTTCATCCAATCCTGAAGCCATATTCCTCCTCACAGAGCCCACATCCCGGATGACCTGTTCTTTAGATTAAAAAGGTATGGAGATAGGATGCATCCCTGGCATACACCCTTCCCGATTTTGAACCATGCAGTGTCTCCTTGCTCTGTTCCGACGACTGCTTCCTGGTTGAAGTACAGGTTTCACATAAGCACAATCAAGAGTTCTGGGATTCTCATTCTTCTCAGAGTCAGCCGCAGCTTGTTGTGATCCACACAGTCAAATGCCTTTGTGTAGTCAATGAAACACAGGCATTCCTCTGGTACTCTACTTTCAATCAAGATCCATCTAACATTGGCTATATCTAACTTAAGCCTAGTACCATGGCCTCTTCTAAGCCCAGCCTGCACATCTAGCAGTTCTCTGCTGATGTTCTCTTTCAGTTGGTTTTGGATAATTTTCAGCAGAATCTTACTTGTGTGTGATATTAATGATATTGTTGCATTCTGTCAGGTCCCCTTTCTTTGGAATGGGAACAAATAAAGTTTTCTTCTAGTCAGTTGTCCAGGTGGTTGTCCTCCAGATTTCCTGGCACAACTTGGTGAGCGCATCCAGGGAAGTGTCTATTGGAATATATCGATTGATATGCCATCAATTCCTGGGGCTTTGTTTTTGCCAATTCCTTAAGAACAGCTTGAACTTCCTCCTTCATCACTACTGGCTCTTCCTCATAGATTGTTTCATGAAATTCTGTGTCAGCCACTTTCTTTTGGTACAATGGTTCTGTATACTCCTTCCATCTTCTTTTAATGCTTCCTGGATCATTTAATATTTTGCCCAAAGCATCCTTAAGTACTGCAACTCGAGGCTTGAATTTGTTCAGTTCCTTCAAGCTTAAGAAATGCCAAGTGCATTCAGCCCTTCTGATTTTCTGACTCCAGCTTTTTGCACATTTAATTGTAATACTTTATTTGTCTTCCCACACTGCCCTATGAAATCTTCTGTTCAGCTCCCTAATTTCTTCCCTTTGCTTTGGCTTCTAGGTACTCTGGTGCAATATTCAGTCTCCTCTGACATCCTTCTTGGTCTTTTCTTCCTCTCTGTCTTTGTAATGACGTTTTGCATTCTTCATTTAATCTTTCATCATTTTATCTTTTTCATCTTTCATTTCATCTTACATAGATCTATAATTAATACTTTTGGTGCAAGCAGTTAAGAAATTAAAAGATTTATTGCATTTAAAAAATATGCTGTCAAAGACCTATGCAAAGAGCAATGATGTAAATCTAAAGACTAAAGTGCACTTGCTCCAAACCACAGTCTTTTCAATTACTTACTGTGCATCTGAAAGTTGAACAATGACTAAGGATAACAGAAGAATTTATGCCTTTGAGTTGTAGTGTTGAAGAAAAGTACAGAATATTCTATGGGCAGCCAAAATAACAATCAAATTAAGTCTTGGAAAAAATGTCAGGTTATTCCTTGGAGGAAAAGGCAGTTAAATTCCATCTCATACACTGGACAAGTTGTTAGGAGAGGCCTGGCCCTGGAAAAGGAAATCCTGCTGGGAAAGGAGGGGGGTCAGCCTAAGAGACAAAGATCCTGTACAGGATGAACTGACACAGTGACTGTAACAATAAGCTCTTGGCACCAGCAGCCAGGAAATCAAAAAACATATTGCAATGGGAAAGTCTGCTGTTAGGGACCTCTCTAAAGTACTCAAGAGTAACGGTGTCTCCTTGGAGACAAAGGTGCGCATGATACAGGCCATGGTCTTTGCAATCACTTGTTATGCATCAGAGAGCTGGACAATGACTAGGGAGGACAGAAGGAGAATTGACACCTTTGAGCTGTGGTGCTGGAGAAGAGTATTGAATGTACCATGGACTGCCAAGAAAACAGACAGATTCATCCTAGAGAGGGTTAAACCAGGCTACTCCTTGGAGGCAAAGATTCTGGGGCTTCATCTGACATACTTTGGACATGCTGCAAGGAGAGACAGGTCTCTGGAGAGGGACATCATGCTGGGTAGAGTAGAGGGACAGCGCAGGAGGGAAAGACCCTCTATGAGGTGGATTGATTCAGTGACTGGGGTAATTGGGATGGGTGTGTCAGAGGCAATGCGATTGGCACAGGATAGAGCAGGGTTTAGGGCTGTTTTACATAGGGTCGCTATGAGTCGCAAACGACTCGACAGCACATAACAACAACAAAATAGGAGATAGTAAGGATGGTGCAGGGCAGGGAAGGGTTCAAATTAATTATTCATAGGGCTGCTATGAGTTATAGTTGTCTTGATGGAACATAACTATAACAGTAGCTATTATTCAAGTGACATTAAATAGTCACATTACTAGAGTAAAAGACTATCTTCACTCCTTACTTATTCATCTGGTTAAGCTCCAAAGACCAGGTCATCATGAGGAATTAGCATTATAAAGATGACTACATCAGATCACACAAAGGAGGATGACTACATCATTAAGTTGTTGTTGTTGTTCTTCTTGTTGAGTCCCATGGAGCAGGAACTGGCCCATAGCAGACTCTCTAGTGGGTTTTCAGGGACAGAAAATCTCATGGGAGGAGACTGTCCATCTTGTTCCTGTAGAATAGCTGGTAGATTCAAATCACATGTCTTTGGATTGGGAGCAGTTGTGACTCCTTAATACTAAGCTACCA